TGTTAGTGGGAAAATCTGCATTATTCTTTTGGGAGTGATGAATTTCACGAGCTATGGTAGAGACGTAACGGACACGGACTCGGACTCGGCGGGGCAACTAGGGGTTAGAACGTTCATAATTAAACAATTAATTATTCATCAATTCAAAATTCATTTAATTAATTCAAAATTTATTTTAGTCTTGATTAGCTTATTTTTAATTTATTATTTTGTAAAGTTATACTTTCCTAGACTCATTTCGTAGTTACTACAAAATGGTCTTATATTTATTTATTTATTTAGGAATTCTTTTCTAAAGTGAAAATTAGGAATTTGATTTGATGTTATATTTTATGATTTTTTTAATTTTATTTTATATTAAAAATGATATAAAAGGGAGAGCGATCAACTTGTGGCTTAAGCAAGTAGCACGGAAGAAGGGATAGATAGCCCAAGAAAGAAACACGGAAAGCGTGTGGTTTTGTGAAGATTTGAATGGAGCCCACATGAAGTTGTCTGGTTGTGCTCCTGAGTTGCTTCTAAAATTATATTAACCTTTTCCCTTGGTCTAGGATTTTTCAAGACTTGTTTGCTGTAGTTTGAAGGAAAAAACATTTTAAATAAAGTTTTGTAGTGAAAATAATAAATTGGCACATTAGTTTAGGCACTAAAAGTGGGTGGGGTGTGAGGCAGGGATTTTTTTTTTTTTTTGGGGAGCTGAAAAGGCAGGGATTCAAACCCTTTTAACATAATATAAAAGTATTAAGTAGTTATTTATGATACCTAAGACCAATCTTTTGGCCAAAAAAAATAATTAAAAAAAAAAATCTAAGACCAATCTGCATGGTGCTAAACGATTGTTTGTGTTGCGCGCAGAATTCCCCTGCCCAAATGGGTTTTGGAAGAGATGGATAAAGATCCAGATCTTGCCTACACGGATCAATGGGGAAGGAGAAACTACGAATATGTATCTCTTGGGTGTGATACCCTTCCCGTTCTCAAGGGCCGGACACCTGTTCAGTGTTATGCTGACTTCATGGGTGCTTTCAAAGACCAGTTTAAACACCTTTTTGGTGACACTATTGTGGTAAATACTACTTGAGACTCCTCAAGATTCTGTTCTAACATGTGCTGTTTTATGCTCTAGAAATCTGAATCACATTTTGACTTCATTCAGGAAATCCAAGTAGGAATGGGACCAGCAGGGGAGCTGCGTTACCCTTCATATCCAGAGCAAAATGGGACATGGAAATTCCCCGGAATTGGTGCTTTCCAATGTTATGACAAGGTGATTCACATTTTCTTATTTAATTTAAACTGTTTTTAGTTCATCTAGATGGCTGATAGTTACTTAGTAATACTTGGAATGTGGTTAGAATTTAGAAGTAGATTGAGTATTACTGAGAGAGCTATGAAAGTGTTAACACTGTAAAATAAGTACGCTTTCTCTCTTTCTCCGTGAGTGCATGCAAACATGTGAAATCAATTTTTTGGGGTTGTGAGCTGTAAGTGTTTTTGACTTTGATAGCTACTATGGGTTATTCAATAACTTTTTGCTTTCATTATGGTGCAGTATATGCTGAGTAGCTTAAAAGCAGCTGCGGAAGCTTCTGGTAAACCGGAATGGGGAAGCACAGGCCCTACTGATGCTGGTCACTACAACAACTGGCCAGAAGACACACCATTTTTCCGCAAGGAAGGTGGAGGCTGGAACAGTCCGTATGGTGAGTTCTTCCTCACCTGGTACTCCAACATGCTCTTGAACCATGGTGAGAGAATCCTTACCTCGGCCAAGTCGGTCTTTGAAGACTCTGATGTCAAAATTTCGGTAAAAATCGCGGGTATCCACTGGCACTACGGCACTAGATCTCATGCTCCAGAGCTCACAGCAGGCTACTACAACACCAGGTTCCACGATGGCTACCTCCCAATAGCTCAAATGCTGGCTCGCCATGGAGCCATCTTCAATTTCACTTGCATTGAGATGCGAGACCATGAGCAGCCTCAGGATGCTCTGTGTGCACCAGAGAAGCTAGTGAGGCAAGTGGCTATGGCCACTCGGAAAGCACAGGTTCCTCTGGCAGGTGAAAATGCACTCCCAAGATATGATGAATATGCGCATGAGCAGATCATAAGGGCCTCACAGTTGAACGTGGATGATGGCCAAAACGACTCAACAATGTGTGCTTTCACTTATTTGAGGATGAACCCTCAACTGTTTCAGCCGGAACATTGGAGAAAGTTTGTGGCTTTTGTGAAGAAGATGAAGGAAGGGAAGGGTGCTCGCAAGTGTTGGGAACAGGTCGAGAGAGAAGCAGAGCATTTTGTTCATGTGACCCAGCCTTTGGTGCAAGAGGCTGCTGTTGCACTTATGCAATAAGGATCGCTGAATTGAACTTTTTTCTGCAGTTGTATTTTGTCTTATAGGGTCTCTATAGGTCACAGCTAGGTTATGAAGTTTTTTAAGGGAAGAAGCATCCTAGACTCTCTGGCCTATGGAAATGTATAAATTTGTATTTAATGTGTAGTATCTCTCTTTCTCTGTTTCTTGGTTTTTAACCAGAGTATTTAAATTAGCGGCAAACTGTTTCTATGCGCCAAAATAAGAACTTGTATCTTTTGGAGCTTGGTGTTGTAATATAATGCACATTCTGTCATTTGTCTGCTACGCGAATTCTTCTTTGCGATTCCAAGCTTTTTGGTTAACGACCAGTCTGAAACGCTGATTGAAAAACATATCAAAGCATTTGTGAGGGGGGGGGGGAAGGTTGAGATCCCGATCTCCGTTTAGAAATGTATGTGATCTCGTGCCGCATTCCCATTTAAGCAATTTGAGCCTTTTGCCTTCCCATTTAAGAAATTTGAGCCTTTTGCTTCTTCAAGCTATCATAGTATTGTCTTGCACGCTTTTTGGGATGCCTTTGGATTCAATTAGTTCGAACTGCAAGTTCAATAATTGCTATAATTAGGATGAATTTCTTGCGTTTCGTATACCTGATGAGTGATGTCTTTACGTGTTTTTTTTTTTTGGGCCAGCAATATCTTTACGCGTTTTGCTTCATTTAATAGCTAATCATGGGGAAAATGTCTTTCTTCTGGTGTGCATAAAACAGCGTGTGTTGGAACAGAATCCTGACTTAAGGGCTAAGCATGGGGAGAATATCTTTCTCAATCTTTTTAGAAGGAAGGAGGGAGTAGTAAACAGTTAACCGTTGATTTTTCAGTATTGAGCCCTTCACCTCAGGTTTACTAGGCAACTTCCAAAGGTTAACCATATGGTAAAAGCCCGTTTCAAATGTAGAAATACTCGCCATGCCTTGACACTACTTTCCTACTGATCCACGCAATCCTAGCTGTAACATTGCGATGTACATAAATCTTCGCTTTATGCACAAGGGTACAAGGGTAGATGCTGATTTATATACTCCTATGCTCCTATTTACAAGACATTCAAGCATGTTTCACACGGATAAAAAAAACCCTTAAATTTCATTAACTTTTATTTAAAATTTAATGACTTTTTAATTTTATCCCTGTTTAATATACATTATACTACCTCAGGTCCTTAATATAAGATCTTATTTGACTTTTATTTTGATCATAAATATAAGATCCCAATTTACTTTGTCTCTCATATTTATGTATTTTTTTCCTTCAAATAATCCTTATAACAATGATAGTTTTAGCCAATACACTTGATTAGTAAGGATATTTTAGGAAAGACAATATATATTTCTTACAAATAACTAACGTAACTTCTTTTCTTAATCTCCTCAAATTAGTCAACTAGTTTTTATAATTAGAACCGAAGGTAGTACCTCTTATAAACAAAGTCAACATAATAATAAATAAGGGGTAAAATTATATATTTATCCAAAAAATTTCTTTCAGTACCCTATTTACTAAAAAATATCTTCTCTCTCTATCCTATAAATAATACCAAAGGGTTAATTATTTGCAAGTTTATTCTTGTACGTAAGAACGCAAGAGTTCAATCACATCGCAATTCGATAACACGATCAGAAGAGGGGCTTGGAAACGTGCATACGAGTTTGGAAGTGGCCCAAAAATGACCAGTGGAAGGATGATTCCGGTGGACAGTTTCAAGATCATTCGTGGCAAGAGTTGAATTTTGAACCCTGATTGAATCCATTTCTAATCTGTTTTTGCTTTTGTCAAATGTCAATAATATAAAATGAGAATAGTATAATGTACGTTGGACTGAAGTGAAGACCATTCTTGCTGGGCCAAATAATTGTTTTGTCAGTCTAATAAGCGCTGAATCAAACCATTGAAAAATGTTTGTTAGATTAATTTAACTCAAATTAAAGATTGATAATATTTAAAACATGGAAAATCACACAAGTTTGACTACTATAGGTCATATGATCTTTTTTTTTTTGGTCCAGATAGATCATATGATCTTAATCATTTAGAAGTGAAGTATTTATGCCAATGAAGTATGTAATATCTCTGGTTTTTAATATAAAATTTAGTTTCACATTTAATTTAGTCTTAAATATAAGATTTTGATTTATTTTGTTTTTCATATTTATTTATTTTTTTCCAAACAAGTCCTTGAAGTAGTGTAAATGTTGAATATTCTATTAAATGGTAATTATAGCTAATACACATGATTAGTAAAGATATTTTAAGAAAGATAACACTGATTTATTACAAGTAATTAACTTAACTAATTTCTTTAATATATTCAAATTAGAAAATTAGCTTTTATATTAAGGATTGGAGGTAATAATTGATAATATGCAAGTGAGAAATTCAAAATTTAAATAGAAAAGGAATAAAAGAAATTCAAGTATTTATACTATTGATTTTTTTTTTTCGTCGCGATAATATTTGGCGGCGAGGCCCATAACTGTAACCGTATAACGACACAAACCATCGCCTGTTCCAGAATGGCCGTTGGCTTTCCACTTCCAGTTCCGTGGCCATGCACAATTAGTCCACTTCCATCTTCTTACAATGTCACCCGCTTTTCCTTCAAATTACGTAACTTTGCCACTGCCCCTTTGAGACCCACTTCGATCTGGTCTTGGCTTTGTTCTTCCACTGGTTGTGGCTCGCTCCATGGCTTCTCTACAATCTCTTCAATTTCGTTACTCATTCTTTCCTCTCTCACGCAAGCTTCTTCCCCACTCTCGGACCCCCCAGTTTTTGCGCCTTTTCCCTGCGTGCTTTCCCCGTAATGCTCGGGTGTTCTCTTTCAGCGGATGTGCGAAAGCCAGAAATGAAGCTTACAGAGTTTGCTGTTCCTCTAAGGTCGGCTCCGAAATTGAAAGACTTCCGATTCAGAACGACGATGAACGGCCTCCTTTTGATATCAATCTCGCTGTTATTTTGGCGGGATTTGCTTTCGAGGCTTACACTACCCCCCCTGTATGTCATTAGCCTACCAGCTTCCCTGAATATTTGAACTTTCCTTAAATTTTTATTTGTTTGCCTCACTTTCGTAACTCCAAATACCTGGACTCGTTATAGTCCCTCGGCCCCATGAAGTGGTTATTCCTTAATTGTAAAACTGAAGATACGTCGGGGAAGTAGAGTTGTAAGAAAGTGTGAGGAGAAATGTAACCGCAAAATTTGAAATTTTTATATAATAGAGCATGTTACTTTTACCGCCATTAACTTCTGATCCCGATCAAGTCAGAAATATGCCGGCTTCTCCTTCAGTTTTGGTTTATCTACTTTTCATCTGCCAAGGAACAGATAGTATATTATTGTTGATGTTAAGACAAATGGAACGTGGAAAGTCAACTTCCTTTTGCTTTTGCTCCTGCTTCTTCAGCGTTAAATAATATCACTACAGCCAAAGTAGGAGTGGAACGCTATTTGGTATCTTACATCAGAATGCTGTGCTAGACTTAATATAGATATGTATATATTGGAATGTTTTCTTGCTCGTTTTTGTGCCTTTTTCATTTTTAAGTTTTTAACATCATGCAGGAAAACGTGGGAAGGCGTGAAATTGATGCTGCAGATTGTAAGACCGTATACCTTTCCGAGTATGTGTCGATTTCTTTAGACGTTCTTAGGCTTTTTCTTATTATAGAGTTTCAAATAGCTTTCTTATTAAAGAGCATTCTAATATGTGATGCTTGATCTTAATTTTTAACAGTTACTTTTACTTAGTCAGACAAAGGGATTCAATTGGTTGGAAGTACGAATGGGCGTGCTTGACAAGTTATTTTCTTGTTATATGCAGGCAATTTGTTTCTGAAATTTATGATGGCCAATTGTTCATAAAGTTGAAGAAAGGATTCGATTTCCCTGCCATGGATCCATGGGTTGGTTATCTTATGTAACATTGATGAATAGTTCTCTGATGAGTTAGTCACTTCTTGTTACTTTGCTTCATATTTGACACTTAGTACTTAATTAATATGATTAATTTTTCCCTTCATTTCTGTTCTTGGACTACGTGTCCTCCATTGGCCTAACTTCAGGGAACAAGTGATCCATACGTGGTCATACAATTGGATTCTCAGACTGCTAAAAGCAAGATTAAATGGGGGTGAGCTTTATTCCCTTTTATCTCAGGATGTTATTTGCTGGTTGAAGAGACTTAAAAACTTTTCATGGTTTGCAGCTATAGTTACTGGAGAATATGGGTAATTTTTCCTCATATGGCTTTTGTTGAGGAAAAAACAAGTTGCCTTGTCCTATCAAGCATTTCTTTAAGAGTTTAAACTATCTCAAGCTTTTACTTCTTTAATTGGCATATTGAGCAGCAACTGAGAAATGAGGATTACTCAAGATAATGCATGACTAAATTTTGATGTATTAAATGGAGCTGTGAATTTATACATTGCCTTTTCAAATTCTTGTAAGGAGTATAGTTTCTAGAATTCTGTTAGTACATGAGGTTCATGTTAAATTAAATATGGCAGGACAAAAGAACCAACATGGAATGAAGAATTTTCTTTTCATGTAAAGCAGCCTCCAACTAAACCCCTTCAGGTCAATATGAACACACTCTCCCTCTCTCTCTCTCTCTCACACACACACACACAAACACACATAGCCTTCTGCATATCTGAGATAATCTACAGAGGAATCCTTCTCTCTAATTGACGCAGAAACTTTGCATGGAATGCATCTGCATATCCTTTTACATAAAATGATGCGGTAGTCAGTCATTGCTTGCTACTTTTACATATAAAATTTTGAAGTTTTCATGATTGAGATCAATGCAGGAAGTGTGTATACAATGTCAAATAAAATTTGAAGTTTGGGTATAAATTTTGTTTGAAACTTTATATTGGTTTTCTTAGATGTTGTGATTATAGATTGCAGCTTGGGATGCAAACCTTGTGGCTCCCCACAAACGCATGGGGAATGCAGGAGTAGACCTGGAATGGCTTTGTGATGGTGTGTTCCAGAAAATCACTTGTACCATATAGTTGATGGAAACTTGAATATTTTTCATGTCAGTAGAATTCTCAATTTGTTAAGTTTGCAGTTCACATTATTGTGGAAATATTTGAATTTTGTTATGATATCAAGGTTCTTATAACTGTCAACAGAATTAATGTGTATATCGATTTCTTTTTCCTTTAAAGCAATTATTGCTTGACAAGTGTTTGCTCGAATAACAATCATGCATTTGTTTTAGGAGACTCACATGAAATAACGGTGGAGTTGGAAGGAATGGGTGGGGGTGGAAAGGTTCAGCTGGAGGTAAGCTGCCTATGAGTTGCAACAATGAATTAAGAAAGTGACAGGCTGGGAGTTTATTATAGGAGCATCGTGATTATCCTTTATCATTATCTGTATTATGTGGGAGTTGTCATCCTCATGGATATTTATCTTTGATATTCAAATTTATTCAGTGTAGTATAAATATATAGGAGAGGAAAGAGAAGTCGTGTGTTCCCATTCCCTATATTTCTTGATTTTAACCATTCAACATAAATGTTTTTTTAATTAATTTTTTAGTTCTGAAATTCTTCTGAGTGGGTTTGGCTCTACTTTATGTTGAAAATCTTTGCTGCTAAAAAATTAGTCAAGAGCTAGTTTTATTGTTATACTAGTTTTAAATAAGGTTTTATTGGTGGCTTCTGTGTTCAGAAATGCTGGAAAATAACTATCTTTTGGGTTCGGAGGTTACTTCAATCAGCTGAAGCTTTTTTAGATAGCTTACTCTTTGCAGCTCTTTTAAGTTTCTCTCCATGTTTTTCCCTGACTTCCTTCTTTCTTACAATTTTAAACTTTTTAATGTGATTGGAGTCCTAGATCTTGGGAGATGGTAAACTTTGAAACATGTAAGTTCTGGTTTTTCATGTGTAAGAGCACAGGAGAATTATGAGTCTTGGAACTGATTAAATATGATATCTTATTTTCGATAGAAATCATTGGATATCTTTCCTTCTTTTGAGTTAGCATCCATAACTTGTAATGAGTTGAATAGTCCAGTTGCCATTTTATAAGGCCCTAGCTCAGCCAGATGTTCAGTTTTCTGCTTAACCCTGTTTTACTGCGGTATGAGTGAAGTCAACTATGGTCAGCCATCAATACCTGGTCTTCTGTCAAGTCTTATTGTTAATTCTTCAAAATTGCAGAACTTGTATGCTTGATCTGGTTTAAGTATGTTACATAGTGTCATTTTAATAAGCTAGAGTTGTTAATTTCTGAGTTTTTTCCCTTAAATTTTAGGTTAAATATAAAACCTTTGATCAAATTGATGATGAGAAAAGGTGGTGGAAGATTCCTTTTGTTTCAGAGCTTCTAAAGATTAATGCCATAGATTCTGCACTAAGAAAGATTACTGGTTCCGAGACAGTGCAAGCCCGCCAATTTGTGGAATATGCATTTGGGCAATTAAAGTCATTCAATAATTTATATCCTCAGGAGGGTCAGGTGTCTGATTTCGAGAAATATGATGCAGAAGGCTCTGGGACATCGAATGATATGCCTGCAGAAGAGGCTGGAGGTTCAGAAGCCTTCAGTAGTGAAACTTCTGATGAACAGAGATGTTTGGAGGAGCGCACACACAACTGTGATACTGAGAATGGACATGATTCTGGACTGTCAAAAGAAGTTGGCAAGGAAGAGCAGTCGGATCAACTTTTCTGGAGGAACCTTGCTGATGTTGTCAATCATAACATTGTTCAAAAGCTAGGCCTCTCAGTTCCTGAGAAACTAAAATGGGATGGATTTGACTTTTTGAGCAAAATGGGCTCTCAGTCACGAAGCATGGCAGAATCATTTTATATCGAATCTGGGCTTGCGACATCAGAAGGCAAAGATGATACATCTGGTAAAACAAGCAGCCAACCCGCTATTGCTGCAATTCAATCTTCAATACCGGAGGTCAAAAAAGCAACACAGAATTTGGTAAGACAGACTGAGTCAGTTTTGGGAGGATTAATGCTTCTGGCTGCAACAGTTTCCAAGATGAACAAGGAAGGACATTCTACAGAAGAGAGGGAAAGCAAAGATGGTTCTGCCCAAGTAAAAGATGCAGAAATACAAAATGCCACTTCGCAAAAACTTCTTAGCTCACAGAATGGGTCTTCATTGGATGAGAAGAAAACTGAGGAAATGAAAAAACTTTTTTCAACTGCTGAAAGTGCTATGGAGGCTTGGGCAATGCTCGCCACTTCATTGGGCCATCCAAGTTTTATTAAGTCTGAGTTTGAGAAAATATGTTTCTTAGATAATACAACCACAGACACACAGGTATGTTCGTATCTCCTTGCAGATAAGCCCCCTTTCCTATGTTACTCTGTTCGTAGTGTTTTGCAACCGTTCCTCCCAGTATACTGCCAATTATTATTTTGTTCTGCTCGGTGTAAGCCTTTATAAATGTAACTGTGGAACTTTCAGGTTGCTATTTGGCGTGATTCTGCAAGGAAAAGGTTAGTGGTTTCTTTCAGGGGAACTGAACAGGTAGGTCATATAACATGTTCTTCTTCTTGTTTTTTTGTTCTTCCTTTTAAGCAGAGTTAGTGTCAGGGTTGTCCCTAAGGTACTTAAGTTTTGATGCTCGGTAGGCAAAATGGAAGGACTTGAGAACTGATCTAATGCTTGCTCCTACCGGGTAACACTCAGTTCTCATCTTGATTAATACGAATGATTTCTTATTATATAGTGATGTATGCACCTTGTATGATATATCCTACTTTTGTAATAAAAAAGGAAGGGTGCTGTGTGTGTGTGTTTTTTTTGTTGGGGGGGGGGGGGGTGAAGAATCCTGTTGCTGAGTGCTGACAGAGAGTAGAGGAAGTTGAGGAACTGAATTTTAGGGAACTAGGGAAGCTCAAGGAGTTTTTATCTTAGCCTCAACCCCTTATCTATTATAGTACAAGAGAAGAGATGTAGAAGACAGAAAACTCTGATTCAGATTGGAGGTCGTCTCCTTTCCTGGATTTCTTAGGAAGCTCTCTTATGATAGAACAGCGTTAATGAGATGAATGACTTTTCCAGCAAAAGAAAATGATGACTAAAATAAAACCTATTTTAATGATAGGCAATTAAAACGTTCGTTTAACATAAAGCCAAAAATAAAGTTATTTCCTTTCTTTTAACAGCTCTCTTATGGCATCGTTGACTTAAGAATAAGGCCATTGGTAAGAGGAAATAATTTTATTTTTGGTTATAGGAATGCAGTTTTGGTTATCTTAGAATTCCTAGGCAAAACTTGAATTGCGGCGAACAACACCAAGTTGTGTCCTTAGCAATCTGATGTGGCAATTGCTTCGATTTGTCAATTCCTTGAAATTTTTTTGGAAAAGAACAGTAGAGAGACAATAAAGTTGGGAACGATCAGTGATTAAAATATTCATTTTACACAAAACTTTAATTTTTCACCTTTTCAATTAGATGGTTAATTTATTTTTCAGATAGAAAATGGAATCGCCACTTAAACAATGAACATTAGAATAGAAGCAGATCATTATGAATATGGTGCCATTTATTATTGTACTTGAATAGTTTAAGTTTAATTTTAATTATGTCATCCTGGAACCCCTAGCACTCAGAGTGCACTTTTACTCTGACTACCGTTTTAGGGGCACTTCAATCTTGCATGCATAATTTTGAATAGGCATTCGTATTGTTTGGCATTTTCATTTCACCTGAAGATTTCAAAGCATTCCTAACTTTTTTTATCACTTCCATAGGTTAAATCCTGAAAGGATAGGTGGCGATTTCAAGCAAGAGGTTCAAGTATGTTAATCAATATCAGGTTTATATAGGTCAAACATATTTTTTAGATGCCTAGAAAACCAAAGTGCAGCACGTTCCACAATTAGTAATGGTGCTGTAACCGATGCAGGTTCATAGTGGTTTTTTGACTGCATATGATTCAGTTAGGACCAGGATCATCTCTCTAATTCGGCTTGCAATTGGTTATATGTAAGTAATACTTCTGCGCATATTTTATTCCACCAAGCAATCCTTTTGAAATATATGTGTATAAATGTTTATAGGAAGTTTTTTTTTCCCCTTGTGCATCTTGCTTGTGGTATCATTTTATTTTCCACAATTACTTGCACATATATATGTCTTTGATCTCGAAAAATGGAAATTATATGTAGTTTGCTAATGAGGTTCTCTGTGTTCTGAACATCTAAATTGCCGCAATTTCCTCCTAACCAAATCCAATTGGCATTATTGATGTTAATTGCTACCTTGAGCACACAGTTCATTATTTAGTAAAACAACCAATTACCTTTGTCGTCTGCTTTTTTTTTTTTTTTTTTTTGCCCCTGCATGTTTTAACAAGGAACAGCTTTTGACCATGATAAAGTATTTCTCTTCATTGAACATATTTATAAATTATATATTACCTCTTAAAATGCCATTTGAGTATTGACAAAAATATATGTTGTTGTGCCAGAGATGATCATTCTGAGCCACCGCACAAGTGGCATGTTTATGTGACTGGTCATAGTTTAGGTGGCGCATTGGCAACCCTGCTTGCTCTTGAACTTTCATCTAATCAACTAGTGAAGTAAGCTGACTATCTCTCGTCTGTCACTGTATAGTTTCGTTTATATTTAATTTCAACCCTATTCTTTCCCTGTAAATCCGCTGGCATTTATAGATGCTAATGGCCGGAGCTGTATTTGGTTTCTTAGATGACTGGTTCTACTCTCATTGTTGTACTTGTAGAACACATTGTGTTTAATTCTTGTACTGTATCAGTTTCTGCAGCTTGTTGCTGACCTGGTGTATTGAATAATCAATTTATGTCAAGCTATAGTAGCCTGCTCCACGATACAAGTGGCTTTAACATAATCTATATAGGCTTCAACATGAAAGCGAAAAAAATTTCACTTTATATATGCCTGACCATCTAAAATTTTTGATAGCGAGTATGTACTTACTCTTTTATGTGTACTGCTTTCCAGGAAGGGAGCAATTTATGTGACAATGTATAACTTCGGCTCTCCCAGGGTTGGCAACAGAAGATTTGCAGAGGTTTACAATGAGGTAAGAAAAGATTATAGTTACTGGATCGATGTTCATAAACCAATGTTTTCATTGCTATGAATAGAGTGCTGAGCTGAATTTCCTTCACTGGGCTGTGGCAGCTGTAGATGTTAATAGCTGGGGAAAATCTAATACTGCATATTTTGAGCATATTCATAACCTTGTGTTGAAACTGTTTTTGGTTGTGATTGGAGGACAGCCACAGGATGCTCCACTCCTGTCTCATTGGCTTTGTCTTCTTGAGAAATGAGCACCTTGAGTGCCACGAACAGAGTGTGAAATACTTGACTGACTTCTGTTTAATGGTTTCAATGACATGCAAAGACATAAGTTATCATCTTGTGAGAATAATTGACAGTTCAAGCCATGCTCCCCTAATCTGTTTTTCCTTCACCAAGAGTTCACTGAAAATGAAATTTCTGTATGCCCTAAGCTTTTCACTTGGGAAGAATCAGCCATGTCTTTGTTGTTTTGTTTGAATTTCCAAAAGCCGTAAAAGCCTGACCACCACATTTGCAGAAAGTTAAAGATAGCTGGAGAGTTGTAAACCACAGAGATATAATACCTACAGTACCACGGTTGATGGGTTATTGCCATGTGGCTCAACCTGTATATCTTGCTGCAGGAGATTTTAGAAGTGCCATGGTTAGTGATTACTGTAATGCAGTGGCTGTAAGTATATTGTTATGTTGCTATGATATGCCGTTGATTTTTTAGATTTGACCACTAGCAGAAATGGTTGTTATTCAGTATTTCATTTGTTGAGAATTATTTAGTTTAAATCGTGTGCCTTTATTCGGAATTAATATCTCATTTAGTGCCAGCATTCTCTTGAAAATAGATGCTTGTGGGTTACATAAAACCGCAGGGATCTTGAACAGAAGCATTGTTGTTCAGCACCTTATTTGTTTTTCTACACCTTTGCAACTTCGATGAGATCTCAGCATGATACTTAAATCAGGCTTAGTTCGTTTTATCATGTTGAAAGAGTACTATAAAACTCTGGATTGATCTCAAAGTTGGGTGAATCTTTTGCTCTCTCGCTCTCTGCATAACATAGCATGGCCTTAATTCTATGTAATGCGATTTTACATTCCTAAGAAGGACATGACAATACATGCCTAGATGCTTAGTTGTTCACTTCAAACTTACTAGGGGACTTGTGGAGTTATAAAGCACGTTGAGAATTTCTGATGCTTCATATCTGCTGATGGATCAAATGCATGCTACCCAGGAAAATCTGGAGATTCTTGGCGATGGATATCGAGGAGATATAGTTGGGGAAGCCACACCGGATGTTCTAGTGACTGAATTTGTATGCGTTTGTTAGCTTGCTTTTCCTTTGTATTTGAATTCCATGCAAATTTTTATAATAATCCGGCTTTAATTCCATTTTGATTCTCACATTAGAAAAAGTTAATGAAGGTTGCACTTCTATTTTCGATCAGCAATACACCTGGATTTTTGTGGACAACAGTCGTACTTAAACCAATTGGTTAAGACGCGGAAGGCTTTTGTACATATGTCTTTCGGAAAAAAAAACAGAAGATAATATCTTGTCATTCATCTCGAATATTTCATCCCTCTTTTATGATTTTACTTTAGAGTTTGCCTTTGGTTTACACTCACCAATCACGAATTTGATGGATGCAGATGAAGGGTGAGAAGGAGCTTATTGATAGGTTATTACAAACTGAAATAAACATATTCCGTTCAATCAGAGATGGGAGCGGTCTTATGCAGCATATGGAGGATTTCTATTACATTACGTTACTAGAGGTACCGTCTGTTAAAATTAATAATCTTGTGGATTTTTTTTGGTTCCTATTGTCATTCATTATCTGTGTCCATTGTATAGAGGAAAAATCATGTCATGTATCGATTTTGCTGACACTTCTCTTTAACTTTATTCAGAGTGTGAAATCAAATTACCAAACTGCATCAAGTCCGCAGCCAAATGAACAACTATTTCGGAGCCAATAAGGTTTTTCTGTTTCGAGGCCGGTTGCACAGTTCGGTGTATACTTGTTAAGACAGTAGGAGGAATAGGTTGGGCTGAAGCCATATTTCAGTATTCCAGAGAGCATTAACCAAGTCTACTGGTGTGTTACCGTTTGATCTCTGTCTATGCATTTTGTGTTCCTTTTACCCCAAAAAAAATAAGTCATGAAGAAGGCACCACACGCTTTCCATTGGATGCTAATAATGTGTTTTTTTCTTTTTGGACATCTGCTTTTCATTGACTGAATCTAGTTACCACTCAATTCAATTTAGGATATATTATATGTTTGACTCCCTTGATAAGCTGTCGTTTTTATTGTGGCATGATTGATGACTCATTTTGGCATCAAACTTTACATCCCAGTTATTTGAAAACGTGTATAATTCTAATCGCTCTCTTACTTGCGTTGCAGAGCTTAGAACTAGCGGAGAAGCCAAGCTACTGAGAAGAACATCAGAATGAACGGAACACACAGACCAAATCCCTGAATATGTCAGATAGTCCAAATGTCCAGAAGTGATTACCATTACGTATACATAATGCAATGAAAGATGGAAGTGTACAAACATTCTTTCCTACCTTCATACATGCACACGTACATATTATATAAGAATGTATTAAAAACCGTGGAGGTACAGTTAGCCTTCTACTGGCTTTCTAGTTGGCTTTCATGCCAATAATCCATGTGAGAGAGTTTCTGCCACATAGCTTTGAATTGAAAAGATTTCAATTTAATTCTTATACGAATTGATCATTTTTGTTCACTGTAACATTTTTTATATTCCCTTCTCTTTTTCTTTCCTCTCCCTTGTGTTCTGTCATCCACACATTAAAAAATTTCAATCCTTCCATGTTTTCTTTCCTCTCAGTTCCCAACTCTTCCTCCTATGCAACACGGGTAAAGTTCAGAATATCTCCGGATTATAAACAACACAATTTCTGGCAAAAATCCAATAAAAGATTGATGAAATATTGAAATAGACAAAGGTTTAATTTTTCACTAACTATCTTGCGTGTGCTTTATATGCCTAATTAATTAATTCACAACACTCACCTTCCTCCCCCAAGAAAGAAGCGAATATCAGTAATGTGCAACAAAACACCTCCTCACGGCAAGAGAAGCAATACTGGTCGGAAGAAAATTGACAACCACAACACCATTCAAAGAGTTCAGAGTGCCAACCAGAAAAGTTGCGAAGTACCGACATAAATTTAAAAACCTCCCAAGCCTCCCTCAATACCAGTCTATCTTAAAGTTCCAGCCACAATATTGTCTCGGTTATACGACCTTCGCCTTAGAGCAGGATATATTCAACGAACCCTAGTAGGATGATGTAGGATAAGAAAAATAGTCGCATTCTTAGTTAGATTTAAATTTATTTTTGCACGGGCTGCTGTACCGAATCCAAATAACAAGGTTTCGTTCATGAAGACCATAATCAATCAGAATTTAAAGGGGAAAAGGCATGTGTAGTCGATCACAAAAGAGAAAGATACACAAACCAAAGTATGTGACTAGCATAAAAATACATTCATATTAATCCACATCATACAAAATATAGAAATTCAAGAAAAGGTTCAACATTTCCCTTCTCCACCGCGAAGAGAAAAATAGTGCGGCTCCAATATAGTCAACCCAACAAACCAAAAGCACCATACTGAGTAGTTAAAAAGATGGAAAAAGGTGGGATACGTCAGTTGATATCAGTATCATCGAAATCGTCCTCGAAGCTGTTGAAAAAGTCAGCGTCGGCGAGCTTGTTATCTGTTACGATGACCCCCTCGCCGAAAATATCAAGCGAATCAACGTCGTCGACGTCCATGGCCATCGCCGATCCTTGCTCATCCATCTCTCCGAACAAGTCCATCGGCCTCTTCTCGGAGGCTGCTCCGCCTTCGAACATGTCTATATATCAACCGCACTTTGAGTAAACGATGTCGTTTCTTCAGTGAAATGTAAACACCTCTTGCCTACTATCTCCTCGCCGTGTTCCTTTATGGCTTATGTAAGTCAAAGATTTTTCATTGCTGGTAAAAATGATTTATTATTTAAAATACAATTATTTTCTAAAGAACTTTTAGTATTTATTAAGATAAAATTTTTATGAAACTTATTTTAAATGACTTATACACAGTTTTTCAATTATAATTTATAAAATATAAAATAAATATGTGAAGAGTTTTATTTTTATCTGTGTAAAATATGCTTATAAGTGTTTAAATGCATCATGCTTGTTTGGTAATTTTAGATGTCACTCAGGGCACCCGTACTAGAGTCTGTTTGGAATAACTTATAAATAGCTTATAAGTTGCTTTTCAATAATGATTTACGGAATACGAAGCAAACATATAAGAAGAGTTTTGTCTCGACTTACGTGAAACTAACTTATAGGAGATTTTGAATGTTCTGAACGGGGCCTTAACTTGATTCCTGATGGTTCCGATTCCAATGATGTGTTTCTTTCTTTGCTTTTTCTACTTTTGGCGTACGCACTCAAGCTATTTCTGCTGTCATTAATTGCTGCAACATCACTGTCAGTTATGGAGTAGAAAGTATATACATGTGTGTGTAAATATTCATACGCTGCTTGTTCCCCGGTCAAATAAAGAAATGCAGTGTTTGGTAATAGTTTAGTTTTGGATCTTTAATCCCTTTGTTTTCTCATCCTGATTTCTATTCTTTATTATGTTACCGAGTCCACCTGCATACAGAGAACCTCGGAGGTTATAAAGATACATAGAATCAAGTCCCACACCGAGGAGTTAATAAAACAAATGGAGCGGTGGGCAGATACAAAAGCGAACTGGAGAGACGTGAGAAGGCATACCTTTCTCGGCCTTTTGGCTAAGATCAAGTGTAGTATCTGTTCTTATCAGTTTAATATCTGATACGTGGGCCAATGGCCCACATGATATTAAATTAATTTTTTGAGGGGGAGGGCCCACCACAGTAGCTTGCTGCTGGGGCTCTCGCGCGTCGCCTGGGCGTTGCACTACTGCCTTGGCCTGGCGCACCCCGCCAATGCAAGTTCAAAACTATTTTCAAAAGCCGCGGGCATATTTCAAAGGGGACAACCATATGCAATATCCAAAGGGGTTTCAAATCAAAGCCAAACATCGAAATAATGTTAGGCACTTCAATGCTGAGTTTTGGACTGTGGGATTAGGCTAAGCTAGTATTTCTGTCTGTGGACTTTGCTTACCAGAGGAGAGAGACAGAGGGGGCGGTGGAATGATAAAATAATTAACAATCATTTCTTATATTTAATATAAGAGATAATTTAATTTTTAATTTAATTTTAAATATAAATTTTTAATTTATTTTATCTCTTATATTTATTTATTTTTTCTAAAATAGTTATGTGAAAAAATAGTTATTATAATAGTTACACGTATTAAATTCTAACCAACATACTCTTCCGGGAAATATATTAATAAGATTATTTTAAGAAATTTAATTCATGTTTATTATAAATAGTCTAACAATTTTTTTAATCTATTAAAATTATTTAACTAATTTTTATATTAAAAACTGAAAGTAGGAGATAACACTGCTTACCGGGAAATAAAACACCAATTTGTACAGCCACCGTCATAAGAGCATATCAAAGTCACTTCATTCCCCTCTTTGGACTGTCTGTCTTTCACTTTTTTTTTTTTTTTTTTTGGCTAGAAGAAGAATTCATTCATTCAAACAACAAAGTTATTACAAACACCAACCTAAAAGAAGTAGCTAGCCACCGAAATACATCAAACTTAACTCTAAAAACTACAAACAGAGCCACCTAACACACCCCAATACTGCAAAGCAAATTCACAGATCTCCCAAAAGATAAGACTGCAAAGTTCTGTCCTATAATCCTTGACAACGGCGAGAAAGGGTGGTTGTCGTACGACTTGCTCAAACATTGAGCCCAACCCTCTATGTGCCAATGCTGCATTTTCATTAGCAGCTTTAACAGCCCCTCTCATACCAAGAGGGAAAGAAGAACACTGAAAGTTATTGAAAATTTTCAGCTCAATAAGGATTTTACTAGGACTACAACAACACAACCTTATCCACAGGGAGAGATTTATTCCAAAAACTAGAGGATAAATCTTGTTGACCATCAACTTTAACAAAAGTAATGAGATGGCAGAACAATGCTCTACTCTTGGTGGAACCCATCTTAAATCCTCTTTAATCCTTCGAACAATCACTGCATAAGTTCCAAATAGTCTTCCATCCCAACCATAACAACGAAACATCAAACCAGCAGCATTTTTAACATCAAGAAAATCACCATCAATACTAGAGTCACAACCCAAGCCATCCCCTGTTTCCTCACCATATTCATAAAATCCAAAGCCAGAGACTCTATTACGCCACATGTTATTAGCCACATCAAAGCAATAAATCCAGTATAGATGCTCAATTAACTTTGGGGAAATAATCTTCAAGAAATCATACCATGGTGATTCTAAGAACAGGTTAAACATAGCATCATTCCTCATCTGATAGCTCTTTTCCTCCACCGAAGTCCATTGTCCTGGATGGTTGTCCTTTGCAAAGACAGATAAACGAGCATTGAAGATGAAAACAAGCATTCTTAGAACTAGCAATGATGATTGATTAAACAGAGATCTAGAAGTGCCTCCAGAATGATACAAACAAATCATCAAAAAAACTTCGACGATCGGCCACAATCGTTCTCTTGAATTCTGATTATATTTGTTGTCCTTTGAGTTCTTCATCTCAACCATTAAACTATGCATCCTCAAAATTTTTGCTATTTGTTCTGCGGTTTCTGCAAGAGAGCGATCTTTACCTCCCTGAATGCTACTATGGTTCTGCATATCGTACTTCGAATTTTCTAACTCACAACCAAGATGCTCATTGCCGATCCTCGATCTCTTCACTATCACCTTAGTACATTCTGTTTTCCTTCCTTTCTTCAACATCTCCAGAGCCTTCTCATCTGCAAACAGATCTAGCGAATTGGGAGAGAGACGATGCACACCAGCACTCACACACACACAGCCGAACATCCTTCCCAAGCGATGGCCGGAGAAAGCGCCGGAAACTAAACTCACGAAGGAGAGAGACAAACTCTCACAAGGAAACCCTAGGAGAGAACCGGAGCCAGATATTCTTGTAATCGACTGTCTGTCTTTCACCTGTTAAACTTGGCCAACACAAGATATACAGCACGTACAAGATCAGCATCAAATCATCAACTTTCCAATGGTTCTTTCAATTTTAATCCCAGTTTACTAAAAGTTTTATGACATCCAAGCCACAAAAAGATCTAAAGAGAGAGTGAAAAAGCGACACAGATATTTTTAAAAAATAAAGAAAATTAAAAGATGTGAATAAAAGCGTGTCAGTGTTGAGGCAGGGGATAGAGACAAGCCGCTTCCAGAGGAGAGAGCGTACGGACCAGAGATTAAAGAGACAAAATATACAAGACTGACACACGACATGATTTAATATTATAAGCTCGATAAAGCTGAGAAGTACAACAGAGAGAGTTGACCTTAGATAGGCAAACTCCAGATCTAAACCCTAACATCACATTCATGGAGCTAAAATTTTGACACCAACCGTCTTAGATAGTCATAATAGTATTAACTACTTCAATAATATCATAATAATTCATTCCCACATCCATCACTATAACTGTCTACACCACCAGTCCGTCATTAATTTTCTTCCCTTTTCAGATTTGAATAATCTCAATCTTTCAAAGATAGACACATAACTGTATATATCGACGATCCGCATTATTGTTCGTTCTGGGTCTCTCTGATTAGGAGGTTACTTTAACAGGAAAGTGATGAATCTCATCCCTCCATGGGCTCTTGTTAGACGCAGGATCAATGGTTTTCAGAGCCACCCACACAGCAGTGTTGCACTTAAACCCAGATCCAAACGCCATTTGCCACACTCTGTCACCTTTCTTCACCCTCCCTTTAGCTTCACAATAAGCCAGTTCATACCACACAGAGCTCGAAGACGTGTTCCCAAACCTATACAACGCCATTCTCGAGGGCTCCATGTACCAATCATCCAGATTCAAACTCTTCTGCATTCTGTCCAACACTGCCCTCCCTCCCGTGTGAATACAGAAATGCTCAAAAGCCAGTCTAAAATCTGGCATATACCCTTCGATCTTGCTCTTCAACACCTTCCTCTGAATCAGATTAACCAGAAACTTGAGTTTTTCGGAGATGGGTAAGACGAGGGGTCCGAGGGCTGTGATGTGGACTTTGAGGGCGTCTCTGGCGACGTTCATGAGTTCTTTGGAAAGCGCGACGCCGACCTTATTTTCGTCGTCTTCTTGCTGCATGACGCAGTTGTAGCTGTTGTCGTCGGCGCCGACGTGGGTGCGGAGGGTGTGGACAAGGCGATACTTAGAACGGCGGGCGTCGGAGGGGTGGGAGGAGAGGAGGGCGGCGGAGCCACCCATGCGGAAGAGGCAGTTTACGAGGAGCATAGAGGGGTTGTTGCCCCAGTACATGCTTGATATTCCGTTCTCCGTGCTCAGTACCAACGCGTAAGAGTTTGGATGAGCCTGTTCATTACCAAACATCGCGTTAATCATATGTCAGTGTTATCCATGAATTATTACATAATATCCACCCCACCACCTCGTACGACAAAAATTGCTTGCAAAATAGCACCACCCTACAAGTACGTTATTCTTGCAGCTTTCTCTTTACTGTTTTTAGGACATATTTCTTGCTTGCATAAATATGTATGTTCCATTATACCAACAAAAAAAAATGTGTGTTCCATGCCGGTGCAAGATATTAACAAGAATATATATATATATATATATCTCGTGGCTAAATGAACATGTATATTTGAGGAGAATATTCACTGAAAGATCTATCTTAACATATATAACTGACGATGCCCTGCATAAAAAGAAATATACTTCAAATAATGAAAG